CCTTCCTTCTTTCCTTCCTTCCTCTCTTCTCCTTCCTTTCCTTTCTGTCCTTCCTTTTCCCGTTTATCTCCTCCCTTCTTCCTTTCCTCTCTGTCTCTTATCCTCTCCCTTCCTTCCTTTCTCCCCTTCTTTCCTTCCTTCCTCTTTCCTTCCTTCTCCCTTTCCTTTCCCTCCTTTCCTCTTCCTTCTTCCTCTCCTTCCTTTTCCCTTTTATCTCCTCCCTCCCTTCTTCCTTTCCTCTCCGTCTCTCATCCTCTCCCTTCCTTCCTTCCTTTCTCCCCTTCTTTCCTTCCTTCCTCTTTCCTTCCCTCTCTTCTCCCTTTCCTTTCTCTTCCTTTCCTTTCCCTCCTCCCTTCCTCTTGCTTCTTCCTCTCCTTCCTTTCCCCTTTTATCTCCTCCCTCCCTTCTTCCTTTCCTCTCCTTCCTCTCCGTCTCTCATCCTCTTCCTTCCCCCCACCTTCCCTCCCCTCTCCCACCCCAACCAACCTCCTCCCCGCCGTCCCCAAAGTAAGTGCGGAGCGAGATCGTCGGCCGGCAGCATGGACGAGCAGTCGCGGATGCTGCAGACGCTGGCCGGCGTGAACCTGGCTGGCCACGCGGTGCAAGGGGGCATGGCTCTGCCGCCTCCCCACGGGCACGAGGGCGCCGACGGCGACGGCCGCAAGCAGGACATTGGCGACATCCTGCACCAGATCATGACCATCACCGACCAGAGCCTGGACGAGGCGCAAGCGAAGTTGGTCTTTTTTTCCCCAACCGGCCGGGGGGGGTGCGCGGGTGGTTGTCTGGGGGGGGGGGGGGGGGTTGTGTTTGTGTGTGTGTGTGTGTGTGTGGATGGATAGACAGACAGACAGACAGACTGTTGATCCGCTATGCTATTTTATTTGCTCACTCTGGCTGGCTGGCTTGCCTGCCTCCTGGCAAAGTCCTGCTGGGTTTTAAAGGCTGCTTCTCTTAAAGGCAGCCGGGGGAAGCCAGAGGGGTGAAGACATTACAACTGCCTCCCCCCC